AAGACGGATTATATATAAGGGTGTTTCATTAAGGCGGATTATATGTAAGGGTGTTTCATTAAGGCGGATTCTATATAAGGGTGTTTCATTAAGACGGATTATATATAAGAGTGTTTCATTAAGACGGATCAAATTCAGTCGGAAATAAATCAGTATTATTGGTGAAAATTCATTTATTTCTCTATTGGATTATGTTATTTAATTTGTGGACATTGTGAAAATATATTATCAACCAAATGTCCGTCAAATCTGAAAGACAAAAAAAATATCATTAGACGCTTAAACTTAATTCACATTAAAATCGGTCCAAGTTTTTGGAATACACTTACAACGTTGTTCAAGAACAAATTTGACGCAAGCAGATATTTGATATATTTGAACCATTTCTGAAGTGGTATGTTATATATCTGATCTGAAACGGATCTTTGCTCTAACTTTGCTTATGTTTAATAATTTATTTTTAATGATCAGTTCTGGATTGACTTTATTCCTCTTTATGTGGGGATAGTAATTGGAAACTTGTTGAAATGAATATTAAAATTTACTGACTGGTGAAACTTGAAACTCATTTTCAAAGTTCACTATATGAAGTGAAATCGTAGACGTATAATAAAAAAGATAAATTACCACAATTCATGGAATATTTTACCTAATTTAATCACTGAACCCAAGTTCGAATAACACTCATAAAAAAACTTCCGCGACAAGAAACACCCATTCTAGCTTTAATGTAAATACCGAAACATCAGATTAATTTGAACCGTCAGAAAAGGAACTTTTTCTTGACAAGATATTTAATATGTACGCATTTACGTTGATGCATTCTGGGGCAATTCGCCGTGGTGTAATGGCTAGCACGCTTGTCATGCTAAACCAGATTATGACTAAGTAGTGAGTTAGATCCTTACTGGGTGCACCGTACGTTTGGCTGGGTGTCACATTTAAGGAAAGCTTAGAAAATGAACTTATGTTCATTTTCCGCATTAGGTATATGTCAGATAACGAATATGAGTTTTCGATATAGCATTCATTATAATTATCATAATCTAAACCATAATTCCTTTTCATAGATACTGAATTAATTTCTGGCAATGACAGTCCACCAAAGATGTATAAATATCTATCTATATTTCTGAGGTGAGGTATTATATACATTATTTACATTATTCGGACTATTGTTCTCATCTTTGTCGCCATAATTATTACAACATTATCTTTTCCCTCCGTTGTACGCTCCGGCCTTCTTCAGGTTGTTGGAATATCACACTGAACCCTTTATTTCGCTCACTGGGGTAGACTGTTCTAGTTCCACGTTCCATGTTTAATGGTTGTCAGTTATCAGTTATCTTCTGTTAATTTCCCTCTGAAAGATTTCCTCTGCCATAACTGGGTATTGAACTCACACTCATTGGGTCCTGTCACTGGGTCTAACTAACGCCTTTATCCACTGTGCCATGTGTCCTTGAGTACGACATTCCAACCAACTGAAGAAGGCCGGAGCGTACAACGGCCGAAACTTTGTAATAAATATGGCGACAAAGATGAGAACAATAGCCCGACTAATGTAAATAATGTATAAATATGTTACATGCAAGAATTAAGTTGTTTTTGTTAAGTGTGGTTTGATTCACTGAAGAGCAAGATTGCTCGAGTTAAAAAGTTGGTTTTAGTTAGAAATCTGAAAGTTTTGTTTTCATTTTCCGCTTACGTAGAAATGAGCTTAGTGAATTTAAGTAGAACTGGCAAGGTACAATGGTACCTGTAAAAATGGCAACGGTAAAAAGTAACACAAGTGAAAAATAAGTACATTGAAATATACACTATTGGCAAAAAAATGTTGTTTTGAATGAAATTTAATTTTACAAAAAAAATCATGTATAACCTTTTATTTATTCATTAATATTAGCCAACAATTAAAATTGTTTTACCTACATTTATTAATATAAATGTGTACGTTTAAAATTTACCGAAAACAAATATAACAATATCAAATATGTTCTCTTAACACATCTCCATCAGATAGAAGCTGATCTTATAACATGTTTTCTATCCATATATCCTTTAAAGCAAATCATCTCTTTTCCCTTATTACTTAATATGACGTCCATGATAGATTTGTAGTAGAGTCACTGAGATAAATAGTGAGAATTTAACGTTTTTTGGACACCTAAACCAGAAGTAAATAAAGAGACAACGACAGCCCTCTGATTAGAAATTTAACTTTATATAGCTTAAAATTAAACAGCTACTAATGTTTAATTTTAATCTGTTTAAAGAATCAGTTTTTCAGCTGTGCCATTTTTACCTATTTTAACACTTGCGTAATTTTTGCCGCTGCCATTTTTACTGATGCCATTCTTACCTGTAATATTATTATCACCATTCACAGAACTTAATATCAGAAAGGTAGATCAAAAACCACCAATGACCGCACAGTATACTGAGCATGTTCAGTTATCATCTGTAAAATATACATACGAAATATTAAGACTTTGAATAAGTTCTTGCTGTTTTCCAAGTGATGGCCTTCCTAGAACTGTATGTGTGTAGTTTCAGATGGTAACGCATCTATAAGGAATATTATAACAATCTTGAATTTCAGTGTATATCATTTCGGCCAAGTGTAAACAACATTTCTTTCATAGTGTTAAACATGTCGCATTTCTTGCCAAAGAAAATGTATTTGCGGTGAATTTTACTGCACTATGTTATTCAAAAGAAATCTGAAGCTGAAGCACATATGATTATTGCTGAGACTTACGGCACCCATGACTCCTTCGGAAACAACATGCACAGACAGATTTAGACGCTTCAAAAATAATTATTTAGATGTTGAAGATAAAGAACGCTCTTGAGTAACGAAAAAGTGCGAGGATGAAGAATGAGATGCATTGATTCATAAAGACGAATGTAAGGCGCAAGCTGTACTTCCAGAATCACTAAGAGTTTATCACGCACCAGTTTTGAAACGTTTAAAATCATTAGGAATGATTCAAAAGCAAAGACATTGGGTGCCGTACGAGTTGAAACCGAATGACGTCGAACAGCATCTTATCACATGTGAACAGATGAATCAACGGCAGTAAAGGAAAGATTTTTTGCATTGTATCGTGACTGCCGATGAAAAGTGGGTACACTTCTGTTATGGTCCGGTTCCTTGTACTACGGTGATAGTCCAAGGTAGAACCAATAAAGAAGAACTCGAACACGGATATGGAATAACACATATATTTTACAAACAGGAATATATACAGAGAAGTAGAAAATGTTATTACGAACAATCAGGTTTAGTAGTAATTGTCTGAACGCGACTCTGTTTCGGACTGCCTCTGACTCGACTGACTGACTCGCTCGCTCTGACTGACTGACAGACTCCTGACGGACTTCACTCCAGACGGACTTCACTCCAGACTTCAGACTGAACAGTATTTAGTCACCCCCACCACGAGGGCATCATGTGGCACAAGGCCGGTTTAAACCGTATAAACGGGTTCAGGGTCGGTTTACCTCCCCGAAAGAGATTCCGCCTTTCGGCGTAGCCTCGTTCGGGTTCCTCCCCGCCCGAAGGCAGAGAGTTCAACCGATCAGCCGGTCAGCGGTCGTCCGACTTCTGACTGAACGGTATTTAGTCACCCCCACCCACGAGGGCATTATGTGGCACAAGGCCCGTTTAACGTCGGATCTCGGAGCCCGTGGAATCCGCCAAAAATATGCCCTTGAACCCGTATACACGTGTTCAGGGACGGTTTACATCCCCGAAAGAGACTCCGCAGAGAGTTCAACCGATCAGCCGATCAGCCGGTTGTCCGACTTCGGATTGAACTGTCTGCTTCCTCTTGAGGCGCAATATTTATTACGTATGGAATAGTCCATTATGTTATTATGGGTAAAGTCCCATAACAACTTCAAAAACCCTAAGCGTAGAAGATCGTGGGTTAAACCTGGCCATGCATCAACATCGGGGTCAAAGCCGAATATCTGTGGTTCGAATCTTCTCCTCAGAACATGGTGGGATCAGCTGGGTGTAGTTTATTATGAGCTGCTCAAACCGACCGAAATCATCACAGGAAATAACTATCGACTACAATTCATGCATTTGAGTCGAGTATTGGAGAAAAAAACGGCTGTTATACTAGCAGAGATACGAGATAATAAGTTGCTACATGACAATGCTAGGCTACATGTTGCAAAGCGGGTGAAAACTTACTTAGAAACGCTTAAATGGGAAGTCCTAACCCACCCACCTTATTCACCAGACATTGCCCCGTCCGATTATCACTTGTTCATGACCTGGCTGAGCAGTACTTTCATCCTGACGAAGATCACTAAAAATGAGTCGACTCATGGGTAGCTTCAAAAGACGTGTAGTTCTTCCGACGTGGAATTCAAATGCCTGCCAGAAAGATGGGGAAAAGTAGTGGCTAGTGATAAACAATACTTTCAGTGACATGTTTCGTAGTAATTTTTGTAAGTTAAACATTTCAGCGAGAACTTATTCAAAGTCTTAATAATATAATGGAAAGGATGTTTTATATCAGACACTTATGTACAGATAACACTATTTAATAACGAATTATCTCAAATAGCAAATGGTATAGTGAATTGTCAGGGTACTCTTCTAAGTATACGATAAAGTTTATAATGACAATAAGATTACTTTCAATTCGAATGTCATCTTGCTATATAACATTCAATAGCCTCTAAGGTATTAAACAGTAGCGATAATCGGATCATATCTGACCAAATGAAATATCATACAATTTCATCTGGACATGGATTGCTTCGTTATCTTCTCTGATTTACTGATGATAAAAATGTAGAAGTGACGGGTAGGTAAAACATGGCACATATCCTGTTTATGGAAAGGTGAACGATCGCCGAATAGGGCTTATGTGTTTCCGAAAAGGTGTAAATGCAAGAATTGTGAAGAACATTTAAAGACAATGGATTAAAGAAAGGGGAAAAAAACAAATGCATTCTTTACGTTATTGTTTTCAAACTTATAGCCGCGATTCGAACGTTTACTGAATTCCCAAATTGGTTGCCGTTTGTAAGCAGGTGCGCTGAGCAAAATACTGGCGCGAAACCTGATAGAATAAAAGAAAAAAAAGAGAAAAGAGAAAAAAAATAGTGAGATTCCAACACTTCATTCATAACTATAGGCTAAGAAATACAATTTAATTTACGTATTATTATGTAGATATTCTGATTTTGGTGGCATACACATAAACGCAGATAAATAAACGTCGATAGATAGATAGATAGATAGATAGATAGATAGGTTTGTTTGATGGCTTTTCAAGCTTTTTTCTGGTTATTTAAAGTCAGAAAATATTTTCTATAGTAAGAGTTTTTTTTTAAAATAAATAAAAAGTAATTGAAATTAAATAATTTTAAAAATAATAATGATTTACTGATACAAGTTCTATTAATTAACTCATTTAATTTACGTATTATTATCTAGATATTCTGATTTTAGTGGTATACGCATAAACGCAGATAAATAAACATAAATAGATAGATAGATAGATAGATAGATAGATAGATAGGTTTGTTTTGATGGCTTTTCAAGCTTTTGCTGGTTTATAAAGCCAGAAAATATTTTCTATTGTAAGAGTTTTTTTTTTTTTTTTTTAAATAATAATGATTTGCTGATACAGTTTCTACTAATTTACTCACAGCTGAATAGTACAAAATGTGGATCCATATCTTTACTTGCACGTAAGGGGATATAACATATCCGACTGACATTGGAACTTTCCAAATTTCCAATTCCGTACCGTTATTTATTACACCAGGCGCATATCCAAGCTTACAGCCTCCACCAAGTTACAGACCAGGTACTCTATTGCTTAAACTTAGTGATTATGCGGCAACCGGTGTCTCAACGCGATATGACCATAAACACATGGAAAGCGTATGACAGTGTATATATATATATATATATATATATATATATATATATATATATATATATATATATATATATATATAAAAAAAAAAAAGCCAAACACGACACAGAAGAAAATAGACAGCATTCTCGTCTTTTTTTCCATCTTAGGTCCACCACGCGGAAAGACCCATATTCTCAACGAACAATTTGACATAACAGGTAAGTAATGGCCAGAAAAGTTTATTTCCTATAAAGCGTTGGTTAAAAATGAAAAGGAAAAAAATTAAAAATCGAACACATCCGTTGGCCATAGGCATTATGATCAGAAACATATCTATCTATCTATCTATCTATCTATCTATCTATATATATATATATATATATATATATATATAATCTTTTCACCCTAAGCAAGAAGGGAAGCCACTAGGACGCAAGGGTGTTACAGAAAATTTGGAGCAAGATCAGATAGGAGTGATAGAGGAAAGGATGAGGAGATGGAAAGTAGATAGATTAAGGCAACTGGAGATGTCGATTGACATTGCATTTGAATAGTTGAAGATAATAGCTCTCAGGGAAACTGGAATAGGGAAGTGAGTTCCACATGCGAGAGGTGTGAGACAGGAAGCTATTGGAGTAGAATCGACGGCTACATTTAGTAGTTTTGACAGTGAAAGGGTGAGAGCGGGATGCCAGCCTCGTAGGGCGCTTGAATTCATGAAGTCTGGGAACAAGCGAATGCAGCTCCTCGGAGCAATTATCATGAAAGTATTTGTAAAAAAGACAGAGAGAATCGACGGCGCGTCTGTGAGAGAGCGACAGTAGACGGGATGCCAGAACAGGGCCAATTATATTGCATATCCGCCTCTTAAGCTTATCAAGAACCCAGAGGCAAACAGAAGGGGCTCCAGATCATATATAGCAGCAATACTCCATGCAAGGGCGAATTGTTGATTTGTAGATCTGAAGGATCGATACCGGGGAGAAAAATTTCGTGGCGCGGCACAGGATACACACACACACACACACACACACACACACACACACACATATATATATATATATATATATATATATATATATATATATATATTATGATAAAGACAACAGAGTAAGATATATAATCCGGTGTTCTTAGTAATATTTTTATTTTTACAAAAAATCTAACGAGCATAAATATAATTTTCTGACACTTAAAAGAAACCATTAAAGCACCTACTGTGAAATGGAAATTAATAAGAAAGGCTAGAATATGTACGTCATTAAATGACCCATGTCGTTTGTGCATATATGAGAAATTATATATTACTAGGTTTATAAAAAATAAACATTTACTTAATCAAAGAAATGAAATAGCTATTGTTTGCAGACATTGTCAAAAATTTTCTTAAGTAAGGTTTAAAATCAAAACAAAAAATGATAAATGTAATATACATATTTATATTTGATATTTAAATAATAATTTTTAAATAATTTAATTAATTCAATTACATTTATTATGTATAGTCTATTAGTAATTAAATTAAGAATATTTTAAAATTGTAGTTCAATACTACATACGCTTTTAGAAAAAATCTTTATTGATATAAATACAAATTTAACGGCGAAGCAAAAGTGCTGAAAAACATTTTGCCTTTGAAAAAGACCAGACGACATGCGTTGAACGGAAGTTATCATGAGTTTAAAAAAGCACGCCTATCTTAACTTAACCTCTTTTGGAAAGTAACTATCATTTTGATACAATTTGTTGTCAGTGAAAATGAATACTCTACCGCCCCTTGTTAAAATGAGTGGATTCCCCCATATCCATAGAAACTAATATTATGAACGTGTGTGCTAATGAAGGTCAGTAAATTTCAAAATAAATTATTCCAAAATTCACTTGAAAATGAAACAGGACTAGGGACTTTAATTTAATTCTATAATTGAATTTGAAGTTTTTAGCTTCTGTTTTTGAAACATGGTAATTCCTGTGTGCGACGGAACCATATTTTTAAACAAGTAAATTAATAACATACATACATACATATATATATGTGTGTGTGTGTGTGTGTTTGTGTGTGACTGAATGTATAGGCTCGTAGTGTAATGACAAGCATCATTTACTTTGCGTTTTCACTGGGAGCTATTTAATCTTGACCATATGACACATCTTAACTATGCTCATTATCTCATTAGGATATCCCTAGATAGACAACCCCAAAAATTCGAGGTAACAGATAATTCTTCATCATATGAAAAAAACAAAACTATGCAATGGAAAAAAGACAGTATATTTTAATTGTACATATATGTAACTTTAAATATAGGAATATTTTAATTTAAGACAAAATATGATATAGAATTATCTTTATTATAATGCTTGCTCATCTGGTTCCTTAATGTGATTAATTATAGTGTGTATGTGTTCTCATTTATTCTTATATATATTTTTATTTTTACAAAACAGTGCTCAATGCAAATCTACAGAGCATAAATATAATAAGGCCATAAAGCATTCCATACCAAATACTGGTCTGAATAGCAAGAATAAAAATATAGTAAGAACATTTATGGCCGTTCTACTCGTCGGCATTCTTCAACTGGCTGTAAACTTTTTCTGAATTTTGTACTTAACCCTTTGTTCAATCCACGTGTTTAGATTCTTCTAATTGAAATTTAAATGTTTACCAGATAGTTTATCAGTTAAGTCTCACGTGTCTTATTCCATTTTATTTGCACTGTGCATATCTTACGGCCAGTGAAATGTTTTAATAAACTTTAGCTGACCTAACTTAGAGAATCAAGTAAAATTAAACTAGTATCAGTACACGTGTTCATGAATAGTTTCAGTACCTTGTCTCAAGTTGCTAGAAAGGTATGAGTGAGTTGACACATGTGATCTAACTGTATATATGTCTAGAATCAGAGGCCTCTGTTTGTGAAAATATATGAATCTCTTGACTCAGGTGGTGGAAATGTATGAGAGTCATTATTTGTGGGTGAGGGATTATATGAGAGATCTGACTCAGGTAGTTTAACTGTATGTTGTCCTGGCAGAGTGTGGCAATGAGTATCTTGACTTACTTGGTAGAAATCTGGAAATAATATTTATTTAAACGAAATTCATTATTATTATTATCATTTTTATTTTCTTTGATTTCTGGCGTTTACACATTTCTTCCCGGGTCCCGTCCAGGGACCTAAGGTTAGAAATGGCATCATGACACTTTCCACTGACAAAAAAAAAAAAAAAAAATTACATAGATAAAGCCCTTCGTAAAGTGTAGGCTGTACTTGTCAGAACAATTTTTGTATCTCTTTGAGGCTATTATTATTATTATTATTATTATTATTATTATTTTATTTCCTTTGATTTCTGGTGTGTAGTCATTTCTTTCCGAGTCCCGCCCAGAGACCTAAGGTTAGATATAGCATCATCACATTTTCCACTGACAGAAGAAAAAATATTTTACATAGATAAAACCCTTCTTAAGTTGTGAGCTGTACTCGTGAGAACAATTTTTTGTATTTCTTTAAGGCAAGGGCTTCCAGGAATCCTTTTAATTAGACTATTGGAATCTTTTCCAATTCGAGGGTTCTAACAGCAACACGGATAGTTTATGTTCCCATGTGCCACATTTTTGAGATTTTGATTTCAAGGTCCTTGTATTTTGATAGCTTTTTGAAAATCATCAGAGACACATTGCAATCTGCAGGGTCTATTATTATTATTATTATTATTATTATTATTATTATTATTGTCGTTGTTGTTGTTGTTGTTGTGAAAGGAATTATTATAACAAAGTAAGAGCGGCGAACATAGGAGGCAGCCGATACCTCATGCTTAAATAAACTCCTGATGTTTTAATACTGTAATCATTTAGTATAATTTCCCGCACATGATTTCTTGTTCAGCTGCCCTATGTGCTTGCGTTTTATATACAGTAATGTTTATTAAGATGCATTAATAATGATGTGTATTATGACGATGTCCAGTGTATCTAATATCAATCTCCTGTAAGTGTAAAATTATCTCGGCTCTGTTTATTCATTATGCGCCTCTTGCATATTTATTTACAGACAGTAATTCACCCCCTATAATTTAAACATTAATTTTCCCAGAAGACAAAGTGATGGGACCATATATGTCAACAAGATCACACATCTTCAGAAAAAGAAAGCCAATACTGAAAACATGCCATTGCAGCAAGCAACGTTCTGTATTCTTCACTATGGTGTCACCCGTGCCTCATAACAAGATGATCTGTTTTATTTCACTCTGTCTTTTTCTTATCGCTGTTAGGTCCTCGCTGATTGTCCACTGTACTGAAACAGCAGACTCTGCGAGATTAAAACATCAAAGACCACCATATCCAGGATGAGGCAATATTTTACTCGAGAATTGGTGTGAGCAAAATGAAGCTAGACAAGGGACAGTATTATATTTATATAAGATTTTCCTAATTTATATCTGTTATGGGACCTTACCCATAATAACATAATGTACTATCCCATACGTAATAAATACTGAGACTCAAGAGGAAGCAGAGAGTTCAGTCCGAAGTCGGGCGACCGGCTGACTGGCTGATCGGGTGAACTCTCTGCTTTCAAGCGGGGAGGAACCCAAACGAGGCTACGGCGAAGGGCGGAGTCTCTTTCGGGGAGGTAAACCGATCCTGAATCCGTTTATACGGGTTCAAAGG